GGTCACATCTGTGGAGGCCTGGATTGCGTTAAGACCCTGGAGAAACAGCACAAGCAATTGACGATATTGTTTGGGAGCATCGTGATGAAGGCGAAAACAGAAACGGAACTGATTGCAAATTGCCATGGAGGAACCGAGGTGAACCTAATGACTGCACAAGTATTCTACAGCATGTTTGGTTCTCTGGAATCACTATTGAATCTAGAACAAAAGCATGAGATGGTTACGACCATAAGTGTAGAAGTGTTTCCAGGAGTGTTGCAAACTGAGCAGAAGTATATTGGAAAGTGGAGAGAAGCAATCGAGGCGGAAATGAACATCCGGCAGAGTGAAACTTATCGAAGACCGACAGGAGCGAGATATTTAGTGGGATCAACTCTGGCTCCAATGTGCAGGAGCAGATACCCAGTGCATTTCGTAGCGGTTGATGTGAAAAGTACTAGAACGATCGTCGATCAAGCCTTTTCAGTGCCGAAATGCATAAGACTAGCAAGAATGTCAGAAAAATTTATGAGTTACTGTGCAAAATGTTCTCAGCAGTTCCGGAGAGAACGATAGAGGAGTAGGAATTGATACTGGGAAAGAAATTCGAGGGATACGCCAGAGGGAACTTCAGCGACTTTGAAAGACAAAAGCTGAAAGGATCAACAGTCACTGATTAAAATGCAGTAGATGAGAATGATGAAGTCCACCGAGTGATGATAGAAGTGGAACCAATACTGGAAGCTTCGGAAAAACGCAATTGGAGGAGCATCATGTCAACACAGGATGATTTCCCCTGCCATTGCTTACTACAAACATGGTTGGTACACCCGGGCGTAGTAATATGGTGTTGATCTGGGACTGCGGAGAATTGCTCTCCATTGGTTTACCAGACTCATCACAGCCCATAACGATAGTGATATTGGGAGTTATGATGGCGATATGATCGCTGCAAATTCATGTATAGGAGAACAAAAGACAGGAGGCCGACGAAAGAACATTTACAGGAATTGGATTGTCTAAAAGATTTAGATCTTTTTTAAACAATGTGCAAAATCTTGATTATTTCGATGGAATTGAAAAAGATATGGGCCAGAAGACGACTGATGCCATGGTTTAGAGCCAACATGACTATATGGTTGTACAAGTATGCCAAAAAACATATGTCGAAGCACAGCAGAGTGTACATTGCGTATCAGCTGGACATTGGAGCAGGAGCTTATAAACGAGCTTTCGTGACTCATCGGAATACAGTAACCACCGCCGTGAAGAGAACTTCTAGGACAAGTGATTGTGACGGAACGGAAAAAGAAGAGATGTTGAAGGAAGCCTTGGAGAGAAACGTGACGTTGAGCCTCCACAAGAGCTTCTGCCGAAACAGAGAATTTAACGTTGATCCTCTACCTTGTTGTAAACAAAGAGTAGAAGAGCAAAAATGTTGGAGGACTGCTTCCAAGAGCGTCAGGATAGCTACCGACGTGTTGCAAGATACGGAGACTGAAAGTTCGGAGTCAATGTCGCAGCAGGAGGAGATGGAACATTGACAAATGGCCGAAAAACAAGAACCAAAAAGAAAGAAAATTAGAAGAGTTTAGAAGTTTTAGAACTTCTAACGACGAACAAAGGAAGAGACCAAGAAGCGACGAAAGAGAAGATGTTAAAACTCAAAATTGTTTTGTATGGGACAAAAAAACTCAAATGAGAAACAAAGTAATTAAGTTTGCAATTGAAACTGAAAAGAAAACATTTAGTTGAGTTTTGAAGACTAAATAATTTGCTGCATTTATAAATTTGCATTTTGATTTTAGTTAGTGGCCTTAACGACACTTTTTATTTATTTAGCAAGGCTTGAGTGGAGAATTTATTAAAATATTCCAGCCAGCATGATTGTTTTTAATCAACTAAGAGGGCTGATCACTTTGTGGTAACATGAATGGCTTGGGTAATCTTTTGAAGAAGTAGATTATTTCAGAGTTCCTTCTAACCACCGAGTACCTTAGTTTTAATATTCAGGACCAGTAACAACTGAATTTCCGAAGGGAAGAAGCATAGTAGGATAATTTTAAATTGTGGGTTGGCAGGACTATCCTGCGTTCCTACACTTTTAAACTTAGGAGAAAAAGTTTTAAATCGGGACATAGACATTGAAAGTCTATAACGATGTTTTATCTTAAATATATCCTCGAAAGTGCAGATTGGTGAAAGAATTTGAAAGGCTATAATTGTGTAGCATGATGTCATTTATATTCTGCATTGAGTCAATATGACGTGGATAAAAGTGACTTTATGCATTTTGTAAATTCTGTTCGATAGCACTGTACCATTTTGAGGAAGACTACGAGAATCAATGAGGACATTGACCGGGATGTCCGGGGAGTATGTGACAATCGACCAATATGTACGAAAAGGCAGTTTCGCATTCGAATTTTTATCGACCAGAAAATGAACAGCTAACCTGGAAGATTGATGGTTTTAACAGATCAGTGACGTTATTTGAATGATTAGACAAATAGGGAAGCGTTAGTTTTAACTGACATGTTGATTTTAAAAAATTTGAATTGTGACGCCACATTTCTGAGAAATGCTAAAACGGCTATTTTGGGACAGAAAACAGAAGAAAAACAGAACAACAATAGTTGCAGTAAAAACAACTACGAGAAAATAACGACAGATTGAAGTTATAACTGGAGATTGTCAGAAACCGCTCCGAGTTGTAACGAACAATTGTGCCGCTATAATGGTTACCAAGCAACTCACACGAACGAGGAAGGGGGGTCGGACGATGTGTCCAGCCTTCCGGTAAAAAATAGGAGTGCTATTTCCCCGGATTCCAGAATCCGGAGGGGTCTCGGGACTGAAACTCTTAGCCTTTTATATAGATTTTTAGCTTACCTATTATGTCTTGAATTGAATTTAATTAACATCTGAATTCATTTTGCTAGGATGAGAAGCTAGGAGTTGGGGGAAAGGGTTGATCCATCTTCGATGGCGATAATGATTTTTATCTACTGAGCAAAAACAATAGTAATATAGTAAATATTAGTAGCCCTGTTTTTAGGAGTGAACTCGTTGTCTGGGTATACTGAGACCCAGCCATGAGCTCACTATTCTTGCATATAGTTAAGTTAATTTGAGTGTTTTGACCGAATCCAGAAGCAGTAACGATTTTGTCGACCCGATGTTAGAAAGGCCACCAAAAGAACTGGCTTTGGCAGAGACGGTGAAAAGCATGTAGAGCTGTGTTTAGACGCTAGCCAGTCGTTTTACAAACTAGCTGTAGTTTCCGTCGACATTTACTTCCGGGCGAATGTTACAAGAAGAAAACAATATCAGATTTAGAAAAACAAAAATTTTGCAAAACGAAAAAGGATGTTTTGGTATACTCAAATTTCAGTAACTTTTTTGAGAGGTCCTAGTAGGTCATTCCATGGGAAGCATGGGCTGTTGTTCGTTGTTAAGCAGCAATGGGTTTGACGCTCGTGCATGGGCTGCTGTTAAGCAGCTCTTGTGGGATGTAACGGTAGGTCGTTCCATGGATGTAACTAGTAGGTCGTTCCATGGCTGTGGGATGTAACTAGTAGGTCGTTCCATGGCTGTGGGATGTAACTAGTAGATCGTTCCATGGACTGTTGTTAAGCATGGGCTGTTGTTCGTTGTTAAGCAATGGGTTTGACGCTCGTTCCATGGGCTGTTGTTAAGCAGCTCTTGTGGGATGTAACGGCAGTAGGGTTACATGTCAGTATTTAGACAGCCGCGTATTCATACTGGTCAGTATTTAGACAAATACTGTTTCAAACAATCAGAATCGAGACAAAGAAGAAATTAATAAATAATTATTATTTATTTTGGATTATTTATGTTTTTTTCTCGATTCTGATTGGTTCATACAGTATTTGTCTAAATACTGACCAGTATGAATACTCGGCTGTCTAAATACTGGCTGCACTCACGGCAGTAGACTCCTTAGTTCATAGTAGGATTAGTGCCGGGTTTGTTTATAACCCTGGTACGGCTACCGCTGAAGCGGAAGAGCGAAAAAATGACAAGTATGAAGATCTAGTAGATTATGCGTATCTTTTTCAACCGCTAGTTTTTGAGATTCAGGGCGCGGCCGGCCCCAGCTCAGAAACTTTTTTGAGCAAGCTTTGTAAGAACCTAAGCATATGCTCTGAGGAACATAGAGTATACAACTTTTTAAAACAGAGAATCTCCCTGGCAATATAGATTGCGAACGCCGCTTCCGTACTCGGAACAATAAATGACTAATTAACTTTCGCCGAAATTTTTAGTTTGTAACACTTGTATATTATCTTTTCTCGTGTCGAGTTGCGTGTTCTTATTGAAGAAACGTAACCCGCATCGATTTTTATTGTGTGGACATCAACACTTGTCATCTTCTTTTATCATTATCACTTCATTATCTAGAAAAATTAAAGGATTTTGACTGGAATATCTGATGAAGGGACTCCTGACTGTAACCTCGGTTATTGTGATTTTTTTGACCTAAAATAGGGGAGCGGTGGTGAAGTGATTACGTCTCCGCCTCTCAATCGAAAGATCGGATGTTCGAGGCCCACCATGATCCGTGCTCGTTGCCTGAGGGTGAAGCAACATTACCCAGCCCAGAAAAATGACTAAAAAAAAATTGCATGTAGTTCTTAAACAGGGGCACAACAGCGGTTCGCCGTGATGAGCTGTACAGCTCTTGTGTTGGTCCTTTCCCCCGTGGATAAATGGTCTTCTGATTACCCACTATACTTTGGACATTGCAACCTGGTTCAGAAAGTCAGATCAGCCGTCAAGTGATAGGTGCAAACCCTTGTGCAAATTGAACATGCACGTAAAATTAACGCGTATCTTAAAAGCTTCAAGCGCTTTCAACCTTGTGTAAAATACAGAAGCCTAAACTCCTCTCTCCCTCGGCTATATCGGTATATTTCACTTATACTAATATGTTTGATGCACCGGAAGTGCGTTAGACGCTAGTTATTTGTAATTTGTTAATTAATTTCAGAATTATGGTCTGCTTGAATTTCCAGCAATGAGCATACAGGTGTATTTTGACGAACAACGAAGTTTCCATGAGTTTAATATACTTATTGACACTACTTGTAGGGATTTGTTGAATGCCTTTAATTTGCCTACCGATGGCACCTATGAATTGACTGAGCATTGGAGAGAATGTGGTAAGTGTTCCCAATAAGAAATACAAAACGTATCCGAAAGATGTTTTGACCAACAAGTCGAACTATTTAAAAATCAAGAAAATAGGAACGGTTTGAAAATCAAATTTGTGAAAATTAAATCGGATGTCTCGTGATTTATTGCATTAAACATAAGCTCGGCTTATAATTTAGATGAGCAAATTGCTCAGTTGATAGTTGGTATGTTGCTTTTACTTTTACAACTGTTATCATTGTACTGTGATTTTTTTTCGAAAATAAGGACCTTACTGAGCGTCAAATAACTTCAGACAAAGGGCGAAAACCGTTAATCATATCTCATGGGCTTGTAGAGTTTTATTTGATTTCTTTTCTGTTTTCTTCATCAGTTTGATAACTTTTATAATTTGGGTTCTTCATTTAATTAATCAAGAGGACTAAGCGTTTTTTCGAATTATATAGACAGTATGTTAATTTACTTTTACCGGAGGCGCAGCACCAGGCTCAACAAAAACCGTCAAGAAACTAGCAGAGAAACTAATCGAAAAACGGAACGAATCATACTCGGACACAATAAACTTTATAAGAACAAAAATAAGTTTTGCTTTTCTGAGGAGTGCAATCCTATGCCTTAGGGGGTGCAAAAGTCTTAAAAGTACATCCAACATAAACAATTATATCTGTGCTATAATCGAGGAGGGTAGATTTTAATTGACACGTCTTGATTTATTCATGAAGGTTTGCCGATGTATTATAGAGCGTTGGTACGGCCCTATCCAACCTGTGCACGTACCGTCGCATGACAGAAGGGCCCATTTTAATTATGTTCATTGTGAGTTTTCAATCAGTTATTAAGGGCTTCATTTATTAGTGAAAGGGATTTGAAACAATTGATGAAGCTTAGTTCTGGAAAAGAGCAATGCGAAGCGTGGTTTTAACTTATTCATGCATAATCGGTTAGTAGGAGTAAAAGACTATTCACTGTGAAGAAAGTACAATATATACTAAAGAAGAATTTGGCAGCAAAACAAGCTATCAATCAACAGATGAATAATAGAGCGATCAAAGAGTAGTGGATCAACTTCTATATAAAGTGGGAAGTGATTTCTTTATAAAGTGAGAAGTCCATTCTCCGAAACCTAAGACACCTCCTTCCAAGTTAAGTCATGCATAAAGTCCTGCACAAGTCCTGAGGTTCAGTTTTACCATGTTTCCTGTCATTTTTGATGAGAGCAATATCGGTATGTAGTCCAGACAAAAACCTTCGTCTGCTTCGCAACAACTCTTTTACACCATTCATCGAGCAAACTTCTACTTTTTGATGGACTGGAAGCTCAATTTTGGCCCATCCTCGTTCTTTTAATCATCGTCTTTAATCATCAAGTCCTCCATTTGCTCACTCAATGTCTCAATCTTTTGTTTCGTCTCACCTCAAATTTAAGTCTGATTGACTTTGTATTCTAAAGCTTAATTCTCGGCTTCATCAGCACGTAAATTTGATTCTATTTCTTAACTTGCTTGATTTCCAGCTCCTAACATTTAACAAATAAAGAGAAACTCTCGCTTACTTGCCTAGAGTGTAAACCCTCTTATATTCTTGTTCAATACACGACTTTACTCCGAAAACTACCTCAGCTCCTCTAATAAATTCGAAGACTCACATTAATATCTCGCGGTTTCTCTGGTACATAGACACACTTACTCGTTGAAACAGTTTTGAAAATTTCTTTGTCTCACACAGTAAACTCAATTCTTCCTTTTGCTAAAACAATAGAAACAGCTTTGTTAGCGCTCTTAACAGTGTCACTAAAATTCTCGTCCTGCTCAAATACATTTTATCCTTTCGAATAGCCTGGTTGTACTTGAATCTATAACTAAGTCAACATCAACCCTATCTGATAAATTGTAAAAGCTGCTAAAAAGAGTTTAGTTAAACCTACAATAAGCTGCTATGTGTCCTTTGTTTTTGCACCCAAAAAAGTTTTGTCTCCTTCCCATTTCTTCCATAGCCTTCAAAGTTTATCTAGGATCCTTCCAACCCTGCTTGATCGAAGCAGGATTCGATCCGACGACCTTTGTGTTAAATACTGCGCTTCTTACCCACTCGACCACATCTGCTCTTCTGAATCTCATTCAACGTCTGATCATTTTAACTTTTTTAAATCAATAAACAAGGTACTAAACTCCTTTGGAAGGCCTTCAATGGTGATCGACAAACATATTTTCACTTAAACCCTTGTTTACTTCATAATTTATTGTATAATTTCTCAACTATTGTAAGACAATCGACTAAACTCGTTTTTAGCTTTCATCCTAATCGAAGTTAAATGTAAAATCAGTCGCTGCAGTTATGTTCTCAATGCTTTTAAACCTTTTGCACAAAGTTTCCCAAGCGTTTTCCCCCGCCTTTATAAGACCTCAAAGCAAAACGGACTTTTTGTCGAAACATTTGACTAAGTCATACCAAACATGCAGTTCTTTCCTATTGAAATTTTCCTTTTCATGAAGATACCTCTCTGTTCAACAGTAGCTTTTTTTGTAACACTGAGTGAAAACCTTTTTCATCCTCTGCAGTAATCAAAATTTTGTTCAACAAAATGAAAACTTTTAGCCTTAAACTGTTCTGCCAAGTACAAAAAAGTGTTCATTTTTCTGGGAAACACTATTCTCTCTGACTTTTCAACCTAAACTGTATTACTCCGAAACCATAAAACTTAATCCACAATCATTTCATATCAATTTTTCAGCCTGTGTCTTGTCAGCAAACATTTCGAGTCGAATACAAAATTTAAGCACGTACCTCGTTTGCTAAGTCTGATCTGAAGCATAACGAGTTGCGTCGTTTGCCAAGTCTGATCTTAAGCTTAACGAGTCGCGTCACAGAATTGCATATCAGCGACTCAGCGAAATCAAGGTTCTTTCACATACTTCAAACTTAGCGATATCTTCTGTAGTTTTTTGGTAGAACCCCTATGCTTTAAATCAAGTTCGAGTTCATAATCTTGCAGCGACGGTTTGCAATCTTCCCAAGCAACAACAAAGCATCTACAAATTCCTTAAAAACCACATTAATTGATTTTTTCAGTTTCCATCTGTATCTCTTGCTCCCTCATTTATTTTGCTGTTGTCTTTCTCACTAACTTTTTTTTGACTTTTTTCCGCGTTTGTCTATCTTTCGTGTCACTTTATCTCTGTCACATATTCAGTGGTCTCGTGATGAAATCGAATGATGCGCAATCATGTTCCTTTTTCATGTATTATGAAAGTTGCTCATGGTTCTCAAGGTACCCTGAAAGTCTTAAAAGTTCAATACTTCACTTCGTAGCTTTTAGTCATAAAACTCGTTGATTTCTGTAATGGCCTGATTTCACTTGTTCGTCTCGCAATTTCTTTGGTTTTGTTCAGTGGCTGCGAATTGACTCAATCTACAGAGCTGCATGAGTTGAAAGCTCATCCAGAGGACTTCTATCGAAGAATTTTCTAATAGCTGCTCTGTTGTTTTCGCGGTTTTTTCTGCCAAAAGTTTCTCCTTGTACTTATTTTTGTCAGGTTCCGGCTTCTCTGTCGGAATTTGAGCCCAGATGAAAGCAAATGAATCAGTCTTGAGGTAGTGCGACATTTCGTAACATGTGATTCTTCATAAAAAGGCTTTAACAAATGGCCTTTTTCCTTGCAAAATGGGTTCAAAGTTATTAAGGAGTTCCCGCCAATTTGAATAATTTCTGATAGATTAAATGGTAAAATCGAATCGTTCCATTTTTTTCGGAAATTAAAAGTTGGCATACGGTATCAGTTTTTTAAACCAGGCGACTATTGCTTTGCGTGGAGACAACAGTGGTTTTGGTTTGCAGTTCGCAATGGTATATTTTTGAAATTTTGGGTCTAAATTTTGCTCGAAACTTCCGTAGAGATCCATTCAGACCCCCCGTCCTCCCCCAAAAAAGTTGGGTGCTCAATATTCTAGGTAGATGGGGCTATGAATCCTATTTGTGTTGCAATGGGGGTTCCGAAAGTAGCTAGTACAGAGTGTAGTGTATTCAGTTTGAACAGAATATCAGTTTCTATCTATCGCTTTTCCCAGAATATTTCTTTCGTGTCCATATCTTTCTCTCATGTGCTTTCTGCAGCTTTCCTTGGGACTCCAGATTTCCGTTTGATCACTGAATTTTCTCAATGTACTGTCTCACTGGCCTGTCTTTTTTGTTTTGCTTTGTTGTCTATCTGTCAGTTCACTAACTTCTCTTGACTTTTTTCCTCGGTTGACTCTTTCGTGTGACCCATCGTTCTAGATTTTATCTGTCACATATCCACCAAGCTGGGGATATGAAATCGCATAGTTTGCAATCTTTTTTCTTAATTTATGTATTATGAAAGTTGCTCATGGTTCTCAAAGTACCTAGAAAATCTTGATATCATCAATACTTCACTTCGTAGTTTTTTGTCCTTATTTTTTTATTCTGTAATGGCCTGAATTGACTGCTTCTTCATACGATTTCACTGATTTGTCTCGATGCTGGGAATTGACTGGATCTACAGCTTTCTGTTTTAGAAGTGCATTCAGGTTTAACTTGAGTTTTTGAAGTTAAGACGTTTAATTCTTCGACCAAAATGAGCATTTTTCAGCCGTTTGTGACCTGGCCTTTCTTTCACCCAGAACTTCCATCTAAGAATAGCTGCTCTGTTGGCTCCGAGTTTCTTGTACCACAGATTTTTCCTTCTAATTTTATTTAAAGTTCCAGCTTCTCATGAATCCAGATGAAGTTATATGGATCAGCCTTGAGGTAGACCGACAATCCGTAAGAAGTCCGAGAGAGGAATGCTCCGTGTGAATCAGTGTTCCCCGCATGATCTTCTGTTACGAATTGTCACTTCCTACGAATTGCTTCTCTTACGAATTGTCGCCTTACTCAGGTTTGAATCCTTAGCCTGAAAAAACGTTCGTTTTTTTTTTTGCATTACGGACAAGTTATCCTTTCAGAATTTTTGCTATAGGTTCGATCAGAAAAGAATTTTTTTCATCAATCTCCAGTTCTATTCAGTAACATCTTGTCAGAAGCCAATGCTTTCACAATCATTTGATTCTGCTCATCCTAATCGTTTTGTTGCTCTGATCATTGTTTTCAAATTAAGCGTCACTCTCTCAATCCATCGATAGGTTATGGCTCCTTTCCGCAATGTTTCTTTTTTATTACCCGAGTGATATGACTAACGGAAATACTGAGATTTGATATCGATCATATTTTCAGACAGAAGTTGATACTTTTTGTTTAACCACTGTTTTTGAATTTGGTATTTAATCTCCAGTTTTAAATCACTGTAGATCTTGAACACAATCAATTTGGACACTTTCCGCGTTTAAATTGAGAAAAAAAGCGCTGGAAAAAATAGTCAAATATTAACTGCATTCTAATCAACATTTTTTCCTCTTCGCTTAGAGTTCAGCTAATTTAATCTATTTTTTTTAAAATTGAGTGCTTTGCTCGTACATGGTTTTGCGGACTCTTTGCGGCATTTTTTAAAAAGTTTGTCTCGACTGGCATAGTTGTTTCAATATTTCGTTTTTTTTTCGCTTTTCGAATTCTCCAATTTATCGAGATTGAAGTTGAAATTGAAATTTTTTGTGAATAATGATTGATTGTTTTTAGGGTCGTGGTTTTGTAGTCTTGTTTCGTTGAAATTTTAAGTTTACTGCTAACATTTTTGAAATTTGTGTTCCAATGATGATAAAAGGCCGAGTTTAAGCCCTAAATTTTAGGGTCATGAAAAATTGAAAGCGAAATTCTGACTGGCCTGGTTTTTTTGTGCCTTAATTTTAGTCGTTATAACTGCTATAATTTTTAAAAGTTGTGTTTCAATGATGATAAAAGGCCGAGTTTAAGCCTTAGTTACTAAGGCCATGAAAAATATGAAAGCGAAATTCTGAATGGCCTTGTTTTGTTTTGTGTCGCAATGTTTCTCAGTATTACTGTAGCTATTTCGAAGTTTGTGTTCCAATGATGATAAAAGGCCGATTTTAAGCCCTAAATTTTAGTGTTATGAAAAATATGAAAGCGAAATTCTGACTGGGCTTGTTTTTGTTGTTTTATGCCTTAATTTTTGTCGTTATAATTGCTTTTGTTTTTAAAAGTTGTGTTTCAAAGATGATAAAAGGCCGAGTTTAAGCCCTAGTTTTTAGGGTAATGAAAAATACGAAAGCGAAGTTCTGACTGGCCTTGTTTTGTTTTTTGTCGCAATTTTTCTCAGTATTACTGTAGCTATTTAGAAATTTGTGTTCCAATTATGATAAAAGGCCGAGTTTAAGCCCTAAATTTTAGGGTCATGAAAAGTATGAAAGCGAAATTCTGACTGGCCTGGTTTTTTTTTGTGCCGTAATTTTAGTCGTTATAACTGCTATAATTTTTAAAAGTTGTGTTTCAATGATGATAAAAGGCCGAGTTTAAGCCTTAGTTACTAGGGCCATGAAAAATATGAAAGCGAAATTCTGAATGGCCTTGTTTTGTTTTGTGTCGCAGTTTTTCTCAGTATTACTGTAGCTATTTCGAAATTTGTGTTCCAATGATGATAAAAGGCCGAGTTTAAGCCCTAAGTTGTAGGGTCATGAAAAATATGAAAGCGAAATTCTGACTGGGCTTGTTTTTGTTGTTTTATGCCTTAATTTTTGTCGTTATAATTGCTTTTGTTTTTAAAAGTTGTGTTTCAAAGATGATAAAAGGCCGAGTTTAAGCCTTAGTTTTCGGGGCCATGAAAAATACGAAATCGAAGTTCTGAATTCTTAAATATTTTTGCTAATTATAGTGCTGTATTTGTGATTCGTATTTGTACTCGTGATTGATTTTCAACTTGATACTGTACTTTTGATACTGTACTTTTTCCAGAGCGGACCATCAAAGAGCACGAGTACTTGAGTGATGTGTTGCGACAGTGGGGGCCGCAACTCTCCCAAGTCAAATTCAGCGTCAAGAGAGTTCATCAAGGTGAGTTAATGTTTTAAGTTATTCTGGTCGTAATGTTGAGATCGCGGGATTTTTAAATATTAGTGAACGTTGTGTTGATATTTTAGTTTTAAAGGAAAATTCGATCTTTTGCTGTTTGAGTTTCGATTTCTCTTCAAGTTCAGTTTTAGTTTCAAATGTGGATTTCAATTGGAAGATTTCCCAGCGTAATAAAAAATACCTATTGATCCAGAATTTCCAAATTGGGTCAATTTTATCAAAAAAAAGTCAATCATAAATTATTCTCGAAGTTCAATGATTTTTAATGTCAATTGTTTTTTCTTTCAAATTCGAAGTGAAATTTAAAAAATAATAAACTATTTTTCTTCTGTTTTCTTGCGTTCATTGACACTTTCCATTTGTCTGTTGGCTGTTTGTTTTTTACAGTGGCTAATTAGTAAGTTTTCGGTTGAAAATGGAACAGGACAGTTTTCCTTGTGAATAGCATTTTTAGCGTTTCAGAATAGCTCTCGTAATTTCCCTTGAGTTATGGAGTGAATCGGTTCTATGAATTTTTCCAATGCAATCCATGATGTTCTTCTGAATTAGTATATTTGTTGCTGGAAAATGTTCAACCGGTGGTCTTTTGGCAAAGATGATCTTCTCATTTCACTGTTAGTTCTTCAATCAATGCAAATGTAGTTTTTCAAATTGTTATTATTTGATTAAAAAAGCTAAAGTTTTTCGGTTGGAAATCTTATTTTTTGATCTCATTTAACTCTAATTGCTCTTTCTTTTCAAATTCTCAAATGCAACTATAACTCTAAATATTATAGCAGGTAACCCATTCGCAAGTAGTATCCGTAAGCAGTCTGGCTTTTGACGTCTTCTGGTCCAAATATTTGGCCAGCAGAAGTCAAAACTGCTAAACAGTTGTGCGCTCTTAGTCCATGTGACATGTTTTCGTACATTTTTAGCCCTTGGCACATATGAAGTGTCTGTGTGAATTAGACGAGTGGAATTCAGTTTAAACAGACTATATTTTTCTGTCTACTGTGCTTTGTGTTCGAAAAAGCACACAAGGTTTTGATGGAAACAACGCCCGTTTTGAGCTGTGCATAAAGTTTGAAGTGTTTTTGATTAAAAAAAAAAATTCGTACGTAATATTTACTGACTTTTTTGCGCTAGAAGAGTTACAAATTTTTAGTTCAAAAGTGTTCTGTTTAGAAATCGTTCATACTAACTATATACTCTCACGATAAAAAAGGCTCCTTTCCTTTAGTGCGCTTCCATACTAGGTCATTGACTTTTCTGTTTTTTCAAGCGGATGTCGGTCCAAAAGGAGACAAAAAGTAAACGTTTTTTTTACTCGTCTGCTTCTAGACGTATCTGCATAATGGCAGCTAGTCTGTTTTGAGGTCGATTTAAAACCAGGACATTTTGAGGGTCTAACCGAATTAAAAGACTGCGGGGTTTGATTTGAAATGCTTGCTGGTTGATTTTGATGGAAATCTATCCTTCCCGAAATAGAACAGGAATGGAATGGAATTCGAAAGTGAAATGCAAGGATAGAGGCCGCTTATTTTCCCCGAAGTACGATTTGTTTTCACATGGATCTAAAGTTTAATAGGTCTTGTCTAAATTCGAGCCAATAAACAACAATTTCAAGCAATCAGTGAACAGTGTATTGGATAGAATACGCTAAAAGCAGACAGTTCAAAAAAAATTTGGATTTTATTTTGGCAAAATAAAATAGGCTTGTCTAGGTCATTTCTACATTAAACTGGATATATCGAGTTTTACTGGAGTTATAAACGAGTAATCTATGAAAATTTCTCTTTATTTCTTTCTTTCAGTCAACACTGCTTTATAATTAAATACTTGGTACTAAAATTAGGAAAGTTGAGTTTGTTCTGATGTAGTTTGTTAACTTAGTAATTCAGAACATATGTATGGACATATATGGAACATAGTAATGAAATTTGCACCTGTGGAACAGTGTTCACTGACTAATTTCCGATGTTTTAAAGTTCTTGATTACTTATGGGTGTTTCTGCTTTTGATGGGGCTTATGTTGACCGCTATGCCAATTTAATTTGAATTTCATTTGAAGAACGGAAGGTTTTAAGATACCAATTTATCTAAGACTATGGATTTGTAGTGTACTGAAGTTTGCATTACACCTTAAAGCCTGTTTGCCGGTTTATTATCTCGGAGGATTCCTCTTTATATTTCTCATTCCTGTTTAATCTGAAAAATTTGACAAAATTCCTTAAAATTTATAAGGTTTGGCTTTTAAACGCATTTAATAATTTAAAAAATTGATTAAAAAATCACATTTCACTAAAAAAATGCATTTCATAACTGAAAAAATAATCACAATTTCTTCAGTTGCTGTCTAAATTTTATTGTTTGTCTTAAAAACGTATTTTGAGGCGATCGTTATTGAAAACAAATTCTTGACCACTAGGATTTTATTTTAGTATGCTGATTAAATGCACACCTTGTTGAACGCTTTATTTTCTTCGGTCCTTGTTCAAATCTACCAATTTAGAACTTCTCTGACTTGTTAAAATCAGACTTAAAACAAGACCGAATTAATGCAATTGTAAAACATGTCAAACATTTTTCAGTTTCATTTAGCTGCTGTTTAATTTGAAATCGCAGAATTTCTCAGAGTTACCAGTGGAAATGCCTCTTAACAGTCTACAACCGTGTTGTCCTTGTTATATTGCGTTTAATCAGAAATGTTAAAGCGAAATCAAAACCATATGTCCAAGAGGAAGATTTGAAAGCTGATCAATTAATTAATCTCGGATCAATTTTCGGCCAGGTGTAAAAAGTCTTTGATATTTTCGTGGAATTTAAAAATTACAATATGGACTGGACAGGTAAATAATTTTTGAGCGTTTTCTGCATTGTTTGAGCTATTTGAACATATCTCGCAATAGGAAACGAAATAGTTTTTTTTTCATTGAAAAATACTTTGATTTGAAGTAGAAATGAATTAATTATTTATTGGTCTGGCTGTTATCCTGGATCATAGTCTAACGGAAAGTCTTTGCGCGTGTTTTTAAATGCAATCATTTATTTATTTGGAATTGAGATAAATTTTACAGTCTAAAATGAGTCACAATTATAAATGAGCTCTTTTTTATGATTATAACGTCCATTTTTTTCAGACTTCTCAGACAGAAATTTCCGGGACGAAGCACCGAATTATCAGGTAAGTCGCTTATTTAGACTTCCTTTTTTTCTCAGTTTGCGCTCATTAATGAATAATTGACATTTATGTCATCTAAATTAAAGAAGTCGGAATTTATAATGAATGCACCTGGTTTTGTTAAAATCAAAAGGTGATGTTTGAACGAGTTTGTTAAATAGACTGCTAATTTGCAAATTCAGACAAAATTGTGACACATTCTGAATTATTGCTGATAAATGTTTTCAAGTAATCTTTTTTCAACCCTTTGGTGCTTTTTTCAAACAGTTCAGGCGTCGCTTTGAAGTTTTTTCTTTTCATTTTTTGCACTAACAGTTATTATATCTTTTGTTGTTTTGACGCTTGTAAGTTTTATAACATTATTACAAATTCTCAAATTAGAAGGTATTTGATTGAACTTTACTTTGTATTTTTTTCAGCCGTCAAACCGGCGTGCGACCGATTCAGAAGAACCTAGAAATGCAACTTACAACACTGGTCAAAATTTACAACACCAAAATGAATATCGAAATCAAATGCAACAAATTGATTCATTAGTTTCGGATCTCGAAGATTTAAAAGGACTTGAAGTTTGGCAGGCAGAACAAATTTATACGCAGCAGAAGTTACTTCAGGAGAAGCAGCATTTATTACACGATTTGTCCAGTGGAGTTCATAAGAGGTCGAATTCTGGCAATGCTGCTAGTGGTAGTAACAGTTTACCTTTAAGTGTGGAAACGGCAAATGGTGATACGAACTTAGCTATGTACTCGGTAAGAATTTACGTTTTTTTTTCATTTCTTGTGGTTTTTTGGTATGACGGATTTTTATGAGCGATTAGCACGAATACAAAGCAATTATGCATTATAAAAACCAAAACAAAAGGTAATCATTGTATTCCGATCACAGTTTTCATTTGAACCTCTTCAGAAAACTCAAAAAGTTATCTGCGATATAGTTTTAAAAAATGCAACAAATTATTATTTTGTAGATCAGTTTTGGTCGGCAGTGGTAAGTTTAATTATCTCAACTTTCTGTTTTACGCTGGCATGTCGACGTTGTACAGACAATTGATTCCAAAACTTAAATTTAGCATGAAATTCTTACAATTTGTTGTATCGCGTAATTGCAGGTCTTCTGACATACCAATTTTGTTGCTCACAAAAGCTCTGAGTAAGTTGACTGGGAAATACAATGCTTTATGCGGCTGAGTCTACGTGATCGCGTTATTTTCTTAGAGCTGGGGTTGAAATTCTTAGGGTTACTGCCGTTTCCAGTTTGGTTTGGTTTGGTTGTCCCGGGCTTTTCACTGATTAAGCGGCATTGATCATGCCAGTTCGTCGGATGAACGAAACCACGCTCTCGGGGGCGTTCTGCAGGATTGACGGATCTGGAACCGCTCCCAGGCAGTCGAGCCTCTCCTTAGTCCAGCGTGGGCAGGTTAGTAGATAATGTTCGGCCGTTTCTTCTTGTTGAAGATCGCAGTTGGAGCAAATTGGCGAATCTTCTTTTCCGATTCGGTGTCGGAAGTGTTGGAGATGTGTGGCGCGGTTTAGTCTAAGGCGATGTAAGGCGACTTCTTCCTCCCGCGTTCTGGTCGTCCAGACTGGGAGACTCTGACCGTTTGTGCACCTTCTGTGCCAGGAGTCTGCGGGTGTGTGGGAGAAGTAGGTCGCTCTGGCTCTGTCCTCGCGGTCCTGGATTATCTGAGCTCTGACCGACGAGCCTCGTGGAATTTCTGCGATCCGTCTGGAGGCCGTCTGTCGCCAGTCCTTGCGGAACGAGCTTTCTCCTCTAGACTTCAGTCTTGGCCGCGTGGCAACCGGCTTGGTCAGGTCATGAAGAAAGTGACTTTCCGGGAATCGAGTGTATTTATTAAATAACAGAGTCGCTTCTTCCTGAATGACCTGCTCGATCGGAATAAGCTCTGCTTCTGAGCAGGTTGGGGCAGCAGGGGAGCCAGAGGGGGCTCCTATGATGGTCCGAGCTGCGTTGTAGTTGCAGGATTCTAGTCTTCTGATGTGGGAGTCTGCGAGGAAACAACCCCAGCTACCGGCCGCATACAGCCCTCCTGGTCGGACATACGACTTGTAGAGCTGGCGGAGGTCGCATGCCCTGAGACCCCAATCTTTCCCGGCAAGAGCTTGGATGATTTTCGTCCTGTTTTTCAGTTTCTTCACTGCGATCTCGGTCTGTTGGTTGAAACGAAGCTGCGAATCGAACTTCACACCTAGGATATCCGGGCCAGTGGTCTTCTTCGTCTCCGGGTTGTAGGCATAGGAAACCTCTTCGTGGTTTAGGCGGAGGGTGGGTTGTGCCTTGCCGCAAGTCTCCCGGGGGTCCAGGGAGATAATCAGCGCCTCCGTCTTGTCCATGCTGAAAAGGACGTGGTTGTTGCTTGCCCAGTCCGTAACGGCGTCCAGAGCTGGTTGAACAGCCTCGGCTGCAAGCTCTGGGGTCTTCGCAGATGCAACCAGCGTGAAGTCGTCTGCGTACTGATCGGTCTCACTCTCTGGGGCTGCCTCAAACGCTGCACGTGGCAGCCGCGCGGTCGCAATGCAGTACAAAAGGGGCGAGAGCGGACTGCCTTGGGGGAGGCCTTCTTGGAAGAGTCTGAATGGGCTGAGGGTGTCGTTCCAGCGGACGGCGGCGTATCTGTCCGACAGGAAAGCACGGAGCCAGCGGAGGCATCGGGAGGGGAGGCCCCCGGCCGCCAGGTCTCTCAGGAGGCCCATTTTCCACACGCGGTCGAATGCTGCCTTGAAGTCGACTGCTACCAGGACTGACCTGTCCCGTCGCTGAAGCGAGTCGAAGGCTGACTGTGTGACGTGTGTAATGACGTCGAGGGTCGATCTCTTCGGTTGAAACCCTGACTGTTGCGGAGGGATCGCGTCGTGGTCGTTGCACCAGGAGCGGATTCTTCTCTCAACCAGACTCTCGGCCACTTTCGAAATGCAAGAGAGAAGCGAGACAGGCCTAAAGCTCTTGATTTCGTGGGCCGGCTTCTTCTTCTTCAGAATGGGCACTATGACCGCTCTTCTCCAAGCCGTGGGGACTCTCCCTTCTACCCAACTGCGGTTTATGAGGTCGAGCAGGCGAGTCTGCCCGCAGTCCGGGAGGTGCTTTAGAAGTAGAGGGTGGACAGTGTCCGTTCCCGGCGCTCCGTGGGAGAGGTTGTCCAGAACTATCTTGAGTTGTGCCAGGGTGAAGTCAGACTCCAGCTCGTCCGTAACCGGGTCTCTCGCCGGTCGGAGTGCCGCTCTGACAGTCAGGTAAGCGGCTTTGCTCTGAGCGCGCGGGATGCGTACTCGGCTCACCTTGGCGTAAGTCGCCGCTGCCAACTTGGCTTTCTCCCAGTCCGAGATTGCCGTGGTGTCCCCTTGCTTAATAGGCGCGTCTGGCAGGGAGTTCTTCTGTCTGCCATCCATGCTCCTCAGCATCCCCCAGACTTTGGTGGTGGGGGTCTGCGGGGTGAGAGTACCGGTGAACTCTCTCCAGCTTCTTCTCTTCTCGTCTTTGACGGTCCTGTCCATATTGATCTTCGACTCTGTATAGCGTCTGACTGCCTCTGGGTCTCCAGGGGAGTTTCTAAGCTGCCTGAAGTCTCTAGAAACCGCCTTCTTGGCCTCTGTGCAGGCCCTGGACCACCATGGCTTTCTAGGGCCCTTCCCACCACCGAGTGGGGTGCAACGGGCAGCTGCTTCGAGAACTGTCTCCACAAACTGCGCGTGCTCCTTCTCAATGGAGAGGCCCGTGTTGTCGCGCTCGTCGAAGCGCTTCTCACACTCCAGTTTGAACTGGTTCCAATCTGTCTTTCTGTAATTAGGTCTCCGCTTCTCCTTTTTACCGGGGAGGGCAGCATTGGTGATCTCGATGAGGATCGGAAGGTGATCCGACCCTATAGTGTCGAGGGTACTCCATGAGAACAGGTGAGAACGACTGGAGTGAACCAAGGACACATCTGGTGCAGAGGGGTTGCCCGAGTGGTCCACGCGGGTGGGGGCTCCAGTGTTGAGGTGAGACATCTGACTGGAGATCTGCCAGTCCTCCACTGCTTCCCCCAAAGTGTCGCTCTCCACGAAGCTGTCCCAAGTGCCGTGCGCGTTCAGGTCTCCGCAGATCAGAACCTTCCCGCTGTGCGGCCACCTGTCCAAATAAAGGTCTGCGTCGCGGTCATCTGAGCCTCCCCTGACTGGGGGGCGGTACACATTCCAGATATCTAGGTCGCCTTTTTGGAGGTGTAGCTTGACACCGATAGACTCCAGGGCGGCTGAGTCGGGGAGTCGGAGACTTGGCAGTTGCTCAACAGCAATTCCCGGTCGCACTAAAGTGACCAGGCCTCCCTGAGGGTGCTCTCCTGGTGTCCGATGGATGGTCCTATCGGCTCTCAGAGTGGTCCATCCGTTGGTGTTTGGGCTGGGATCTTTTGCGGTGATCTTGGTCTCTTGGATTACCGCAGCGTCGATTTTCAGGTCATCAAGCAACTTGTTGAGGGCCGTGGCTTTCCCTCTCCAGCCTGCGATGTTTAGCTGCATGATCCTGAGCTCGAAAGGTCCCTTGGCCTTAGGGCCATTGGCCGTAGGCACTGGTGGTGTTGGTGTTTGCTTTGGGGTGGGGATGACCGGTGGTGAGGGTGGGGCTGGAACACTGGGGGGAGGGCTGGGTCGGCACCCACAGTGCCAGCGCCACTGCTGCCAGCTCCTGATCTCCGGCACTGACATGCCCGTGCACCGTCTATGCACCCACTGATGACAGTCTCCGCAGCGGATGGAGTAATCCTTGTTCGATACCCCTAATCCGCATTTTCCGCAGGGCCACCTGACCGGCCCTGGGTTCTTCTCGACGTCTCCCGCACGCAGGATGAGGCTGGTCTGGTGTGCGGGTTTACCGACCAGCCCAAGCAAAAACCCGCCCAGTTTGAGCGCGCCTTGCAGTTCTCCGACGAACTCCGGGGATGGATTCTGGTGGATTTGGAGGGCCGCGCGGAAGCTCTGGCTTGAGGTCCCGCCCGTTTTGCCCCATCCCTGCCGCCGCGTAAAGGCACTCCAGATAGCAGGGAAAAACAACTAAAATAAGTGCATATTCACATCTTAATTAATGCTTAACAGTCAAGCAGACTACCAAACAAAATCGTGTTTCCAGTTTCCAGTTGTTTATCTCATTGAATTTGAGAATAAGTTGTCTTCTGCGACACATATCTATTCATTGAGCTTTGAAACACGATTTTGTTTGGTAGTCTGCTTGACTGTTAAGCATTAATTAAGATGTGAATATGCACTTATTTTAGTTGTTTTTCCCAGGAAAATAATGAATTTGTTTACGCCTCGTGTTTCTGTTTTATTCGAAGTTTTGGATTTTTTTTTCAAATGGGCGGAGATGAAGTTCACAATTTACAAATAAAGGATTGGATCAATTCACGTATGTTTTTACTCGAAATCAATTTCTAGAATTACTGATAGAATAAAAACAGTACCTATTGAGCTTTCCGAAAATGGGTTGGCTTTCTAAAAAATGTTCCAAAAAAGAGACATTTTGTTCCAAGTATATTGTTCCTTGACGTTTGTTTTTCAGAGTCCGTGAACAAAGTGAAGACTTTTTTATAGGTCATGTTTTTTAGGAAAAGTCTCTAAACTTGTTCACGCTCAATTTGGATTTTTCGCGTTTTGACTTTTGACTTTATTTTCAAGTTCAGCTCATTTCTTTGTTTTAAAGAAAGGAAAACATTACTATTGAGCAGCAAAAGTGTAAAAGCCACGAAAAACATGATCGACTTCTAATTTCGAAAGTGGATTTTATATATCAGATTTATCAGCAGAATAAAAAGTTTACCTAGTGATCCAGTGTTCGCAAATTGGGGTAATTTATATTAAGAGTCGTTAACGTACTAAAGACTCTTATAGAAGTCTTGGTGATTTTTTTTTTCAAAAAAAGTCTTAAATTGTCTAATAACTACAGAAGTGCATTCGTACATACTACTGCATTTTTGATTGAAAGTAGGAAAATATGCATTTTTGAATTCAGTTCAAATTCATCTGCTAAACATTGGTTAATTGCGCTCTCCAATTACGAACGCGGAAGTGGCGCAAAATGTGACCAACTTCTAATTACACTTTCGAAAGCGAGTGTTTTGTTTCAAAAGTGGGTTTTATTGTTATATCTATACCTTGTTAGATCTTGAAATTTTAGTGCCTTTCAATTCATTCCTATTTTGGCTTTGCGAGCCTTTTTGGAAGATGTTTAATCCTGCTGCTTTTTTGTTTCCTGAATGTCAAAGCTCCCTGTTCAAAATCATTTTCAACTTTGAACAACTTTTCGTGATCCTACACAACCTCATGTCCTGAAAAATTCTTGTGGTTGATAAAGCTATAAGCGGTGTTTCTCTGTCACTAAAGCTATAAGCGTTTTGTTTCTCTGTCACTTGCATTTATGGACACTTCTTCAATGTCTGTATAACACTCAGAAAAAAGTCGATAAACCAGATCCGGTTTTCTGCTACAAGCTTCTGCTTGTAGAGTTATTACTGAGAGTACAATTTTTTCCATATTAGCAGTTGATTTCGGTTAAGTTTGCTTCAGCGATATTGTTGTCGAAAAAATGCTTGCGATTATTGAAAAAAAAAAACTGTTTTAAATCTTAACATAGACTGAGTAAATAATTGGCTCCGATTTTGTTTGTTTTGCTTATTTTCATTCACGTCATTGAGGTCTACGTGATGTTTGATACCAGTAACGCAAATTGAATTAGCTGCGTCACTAATGAAGTTCAAACATCAAAATCTTGAATGGCAAAAAGAGTTTTTCTTAATAGTCTTTCAATATTGTTTTCAGTGCCAAAATGCTTAAAGCAGTATGTTAAAAAAACATGAATATTTTGAGAGAAATTAACATGGACATTTCAGACGCAGCCGCAACTACAGCAACTCTCCCTGGCAAGCGATAATTCCATGAGAAACCCCCAACAACAAAACCGAAACTATCTTACAACTTTTTCCGGTAGTCATCAGTTACAAAACCGAAGTAGACCTTCAACACTGACATCAGAAACGTCATACAACCATGTACAGAACAGTTCAAACAGGAATGATTATGGCGGCAGTCCTAACGGTCGATTAGCCAATAATACTACTGCTAGTCTCACAACATCGCATTACGAAGGTGTTTCTGCTTTGAGGCCTTCGGCTGAATGGTACGATGAAAACCATGTGTATAGTAGTATAGACGAACAACAGAAATTGTCTCAACTGGCAAGGTTGAAACAGGAATTCGAACAGTCAGGAAGGGTGATTGAGAACACTACTAGTAAGCAGTACTCCCCGATGTTTGCGTTTAACGAGTGGGGAGGAGGGCAAGGGGGTGGCAACTCCCAGAATAATTCTCCCCAATTGCCCGTTCCAATGAGCTCGCTGAAGAGCAGCAGTGGTACGTTTGGGCACTTTGAGAGTGTCCAGCAGAATTTGCAGCGAGGGACAAATAACAACAACAATAATATGCTTTGTAAGTTAGAAATAGGTTTTAAAATAATTAATGAAGTGTGTGTGTGTGCATGTTTCATTGTTGATTGGTTGATGGTGTTGAGAAATAGGAATAGTGTCTACAGAACCAGCGGTTAGTAGAAAAAGCAGACATTTTAAATAAATCAAAATGTCGCGATCGCTTCCAAGTTGTCCAGATAAGTTTAAATAACGACCAAAATTGAAATTAATTTTTAGGGCCATCATTTAAATGCAGTCACTCAAAAGTTATATTGGTCATTTTTATCTGACATCGAGAGTAAAAATTTTTCGAGAAAATTTGGTGTAAAAATTGCCTAGTTAATTATCAAAAGATTAAAAAATTTTGAACATATTTTTTAAGCGACAAAAACGCGCTGAAAAAAAAGTCAAAATTATTGTCAAGTTGGCTTGAATTATCCAATTTGACGTTCAAAATAGGCGAATAAAATTAATGATCAATGGCATAAAATGACTAAATATCGAACGATTGAGACGGTTCCAATTCATAATGATAGACGGTTACTGTGCAAGTAGCACAATGTACCGACCAGTCTTAACAACAACAAAATTACAATTTTTTTTTTCAATTTTGTGTCACTTTTTCGGCGTGGTGTATAAAGGAATCTGAGCGAAAAAGTAAAGTTTAAGGATTTTTGTCAGTCATTGTAAAATATGCAAGTCGGAAAACAATTTTTGAAGACAAATAACAATAACAACAAAAAAAATCTAAAAATTTTTTTTATTTCAAAAAATTTTTTCGCTTAGTTTTTGATTCCTAAGATGAAGATGAAACTAATTTGAGTAAAATTAAATTTTCAAGGCTTAAATTAAGCATAAGTAAGCTTAATTTTTGAAAATTTTTAATGTTCGAATCACGACTGAAAGGGCTTTAATAATGATATATTACTCAACACAGTCCGATGATTATTTGTGGTAGCTGATTTTACGTGGAAATCAAACAAAAAGAAAAAACTAAAACACACTCGAATACAAAGTTCCTCCCCATTTTCAATGGTCGGAGCAATAATATCGTGGTTATCTGAATAAAGTTCTTTTTTTGGTTTGTTACAAATTTTGATCTAATATGCGAGTAATTAAAAAATGTGTTTTTTGCAGTGATGGAGCTTGACAGTGTTCGAGCCATGTTCTCGGAAAAGGAGAAAGAACTCTCCATGGCAGTGGCTAAAGTGGAGCATCTCACAACCCAATTGGAATCCCTCAAAACAAACACAACACCTCCAGGGCTACAGCACCAGAATGGGGACCTGGTGGGGCCACGGAGGATGACTGTGGGTGGGGGCGAAGGCGGGGAAGGGGAGGAGCAAGTTGCAGGAAATAATTTGGTGTTTGATAGGATGAACTCACAGATAGTGGTAAGTTGCTAGCTAGAAAGGGTTCGAAACACCTTTTGGCTAATTCGATCAAAATTTTTCCAAAAATGAATGTTTATTGCCATAATTTTAGACATCAACATAGCGTAAGCTAGAAGCAGGCAACTTTACTGAAGTTTTATTTCAATTATTTTATATGTTGGCTTAATGTTAAAATGGTTAGAACTAAAATTTATATTTCTAATCTACAGAATAATCATAATATACTTCGGTACAAAAATAAAGTTATCTATAGCATGTTTATTGTTTTCATGCGAGGATTTTATTGGTTTGCGTTTTTTTTCTGCAAAGGCTGGTCCAGAAGTTGTTCTTTCATCATTTGTTTGGCGGCTTCATGGCTGAAACTCGTTTTTGGTTTATTGCAGTTTTTTGCTAATGCTTCAGTGTTTTGAATAACCGCCATAATAAGAATGCATCGTAAAAGCAATTTCCGCATGAATAACTGCTATCTTGAGGCGAATAACTGCTATCTCGAACGATTTTTGTGGCAATCAGTCCTCGAAACGTTCCCGTGTTCTTTGCTGGCTGCATTGTACTTGAAGTCCGCTCTCTTATGAAAGTAGAATCTTGCACTATAGTTGGTTTTTGCTCGTTTCGGAAGAGTAAGACATCGCAGCCGTTCACATTGTGAAAAGTGGGTTTAATTTTGGTTACATTTTGATCATTTAATCTTGTAGTTTACAGTTACGTGTTTTTCGTCGAAAGGGCTAAACTTGCTCTCAAGTTGAACTCGCAATAAACCATTGATCAGTTCAAAACAGTTTTCCGAATCATCATTGGAGTTCAAATTGATGACATTTCCATTGGTTTTGACCTTAAAATTAATCAATTCGGAATTGTCAATATTCGAGTAGACGTCAAACATCATGCAAACTTTTGTTATCGTTTGGCTTTGAGCCGTTTTGACCTCAGAATTGTAAGCGCTGTTTGAGTTAAATGAGTCGAGTTTTGGCGCAATGTTCAAGTCCAGATGTCCAGAAGCGAACATCCATTCTAGTTTTCCGGATTTTGGGCAAGTTAGTCTGGCAACGCTGATGGTTTCAGAAGATGTTGCGTCAGATCTAAAACAGATAAAAATAATTACACGAAATCTTTATGGCGCTTTTTTTGATAATTGAGTTTTTTATCATTTAGTTTTCATATTTGATTATTTTTCCCATTCTTTTTCAAAAACTATTGGCTGTGTATTTTGGTTCGGCATTTAAACTATTTTGTTTTTTTTTTCTGGAGTTTGATTGAAATTATACTGCAATACTTACATATGCATGAATGTGCAAGGGTCAACCGCATTCTTGGCATTGCAAATTGTGGTTCCAAATCCAAAAATGAGGAAAATAGCCAGAATTGGGGAATTCGTTTTGTTAATTGAGCCTGTCATTTTATGGGTTTCTGTGATTTTAATCCAGTAAGAACGACTTTTTGAATTAATGAAAATATCGAAATATCTGTTCAAAGTAAAGCCAAGGCTATCAATTAAATTATTTGAAGTACTCGATCTTTTGGACCGGTAATTAATTGATTTGATTAATAGGCGATGTAATAATTCAATTAATTGTTTGAGAAAAGTAAAATTTTGAATTTTTTAGCATTCGATGAAGATTTGAAATCAGCTTCTGATTTTTTTTGCAAGGTAGTGGATTTGAAGATGATCGTTAAGTAAACTGATGAAACTTCCTTCCACTTTGACCATGATTTCAAAGGGGATGGGAATGTTTCAAAAGCGTCAAAGTACTAGCGTGGGAGAGTCTATTAGAGATGATTTTATTCTCACGAGAGAAAGAACTGAATGTAAAAAGGCGTCAAAGAAAACCGGACGCAATTGCAAACTGAACTTAATACTTTAAGAAGCATACCTGATACCATCGTGAGAGAAAATTAGAATGACAACTGAGCGATAATTTACATTGGTATGTTTTTTACTGAATTTATTGAGCAAAGAAAAATGAAAGAAAAAAATAGCAGTTAAAAAATCATTTATGCAAATTGATTTTTTGACAAATGATGATTTTTGGAATGCTCAGATTATGAAAAACTCAGATGTTGAAGATATTAGGTATCAACATAAGGAAATAACAAAAATAGACGAGTGGTAGTTTACTTTCTTTTTTTCCCTGACTATAATGTTTTGACAAAAGTTTTGAGCAACACTGATGTTTGTTTCTCAATGATAGGTTTATTTGTAAAAATATCAAAATAAATAGATTTTGCAAAACAAACTGGGATGTTAATTTGCGTTAGGTTAATTTGAAAGATAGATAAGGCATGGGATTTTGACAGTATTTGGAAACAAAACTGGGATGCTAATTGTTTCCACTAACAATATCCATTATCGGATGATTAAGTGTAATTATTGAGTGCAAAAAGCGCAGCAGTCATCAGATAAAAAATAAACGATTATTTATTTAGTCAAACTGTTTAGTTTTTCCCTCAAGAAACTGAAGCTTCGAATTGCATGAATTATCGAGTGGAGTTGTTACAAACTATGCAAATCGCGAAATAAAAAAAACGTTTGCTTCCTTGCGGAAGGGAAAATCACCAACTCATGATGATCATGTTTCTTGCCTGCCAATGTGGCTCTTTGTGAAAAAGTACAAAGGTCAAACAAAGAAATGGGTCACACAACTTTTAAACTATATATAGATTTCATTGCTTTGTTTTAATAGTCTGAAACTAAAATTACAAGATCAAATAGTGTTTTCCACTATTTAGGTCCGCAACATGATGAACAAAGAACAAGCTACAAAACTAGAGACCCGAAAGGCGTATTTGGGCGAACGAACCGATGAATTAGACAGCCTACACGCCAAAATGAAAGCACTAAATGACCGAATAAACCTAATTAAACAGCAGCAAAACTTCCAGCCAAACCAAACAAGCCAAGATTCAAACATAATCGCTCAAAACCAAATTTCAACTAATTCTCAACCACAGCAAATGAAGATGCAAAGTTACTCTTCAAGCCCTTCGGAGTCGTTATTAAGTTCAGCAAATAGCAGTTCGAGAAATCAATTTGCACCTGTGAGAAGATTCGATTCCAGGCCGAATCCGTCGTTGATAGCACAGGTACACCCCATGAGAAATGTGCCCCAAAAACCGAGTAATACTAATACACCGTCTCCTAATTCGTCTGATAAAGCATCGCCAAGGGACGATAAATACTCGTCATCACCTAGAAATAACTTCATGACACCCCAAAATGCTCAGCATCAATTAGTGCCTTCGTTACAACCCTCGGGTCAAAGATTTTCCCCTAGTTATTCGGGAAGCCCCAATACGTCAATAATATCCGATTCACCATCGATAAGCCCGAGTTCAAGTGCAATTAGAAACGTGAATAATAGTTTAGTCACGCCTAAAAGCCGAACTGACAGTCCGAGTGATTACACGTTGAAACTTGCAAAAGTTCGACCCGTTCAGCACTCGGAAAGTGATTCGTCAGACGCGAGTACGATTCGAGATCCGAATTTTACGAGTTCTCGCAAGGATCCAAAGTTTCCATTGTCAGTTGGTGACAAAGGGTTCAAATACAGCCCAGAAGCTAAAACCCCCAGTCCAAATTATCAGGCTTTAAAGACACCTTATCCCATGCCAACGTCAGAATCTCGAAATAAAGTTGAGGTTAAACAAGTTTACCAAACTAGTGAATCGAATTTAGGAAGAGGAAATATTACTCCCTTGAATAAAAATGCAACTACTCGTGGATCGAATAGCGATCAAAGTAAGTCGAGTGGTTATGTAACATCTGAGGATCCAAACGGAGGTGCCGGCTCCGATGACATAATTGAAAATCAACTCTCGGTTTTAAACGAGGAAAAAGATAGTCCAGTGATTCATCAGTACCCAATTTTACAGCAGTATGTACTAAAAAACAATGATAACAATTCTTATAGTCTGGCAGGCTCGAACATGCGACCTTCGGCTTATGAGAGACTCTTTCCATTGCCGTCTTCATCAGCCAATGAAAAACAAGAAGGAACGAATGTTCTAGAAAATTCTAAGCGGTCACCCGAAGAAGATGAAGACTTGGACGTGTCGAAGAGTTCGTCCAATATCCATATTGATAAGACAACTGGGCATAAACAGATTAGAAGGAGATCTTCGCTTGTCCACGGAGACGAAAATGGTTCGAGTGCACTTTTTAAATCCATGTGAAAAGGAAATTTGATTGAATTATTCGTCATTTTGCATTAGTTACTGTGAATTATGCTGAAAATCTAATTGCACGCGAAAAGACGAAGACATTTATCATAAAAAATGTTTAAATTTTGGACTTGATGAATAATTTGACAGGTCTCTTGAACTGTCCCCCCTTGAACCTAATGAAGAATATCAACCCCTCCTTAAAGCACTAAATCAACAGTTGAGGATGTGCTAAGTTTGTACCTTGAAGAGAATTTTCCGCCTTTTGCAATATGATGGTGTGTGTTTGTGTGTGATCCAAATTTGCTGCTCTTAGATCGCATTTTGTTTTCAGGCCCACTCCTTCCCCTACATTTAATTCCAGACCACCTCAAAAACATCGAACCAGTAATCGAGAACCCACCACAATCCTCGTCCCAGCCTAGAAACAGTTCAATTTCCCCCAGCAAACCCATAGTGGGAATTCTGAAGACACCAAAAGGGCCGAACAACAGACCTAGGAGCTACTCTGGATCGGGAGCCGAGATGACAGAGTCGGGGAAAAGGAAGCGAAGAGTGGTGTTTGATAGACTAGCGTTGTTTTTGGACGCGGCTTTGGAAGGCGATTTGCAACTGGTTGAGCAGTTGTATGGACAGGTTGGTCTTATAAATCAGATAATTTAATTCCATTTAAGAGAGTAAAAAAGCTCAAGACTATCTTCAAATTGGGATTTTCTATGTTTTTTCCAATTTACTAAGACGAAGAATTGTATTTGGAGACCAAAAAATTTAACGCTAATTACAGAAATTCGAATGATTTACAACACGGATCAGAATTGCTTAGAAATCCGTCAACGATTTTTTTAAGCAATATGCTTTTCATATTTCGTCTTATATCTGTAGCCATCATACTATGGCAGAGTTGGGAATTTCATCTCAATTCCGGAATGCATTTATGAAAAAAAATTTGATCGCCAAGACGTCAGTTTCAAGTTCAGTAATTTATAACTTTTTGTCTGCAGCTCAAGAATCCCTCGGCTGGGAATGACGAGGGTATCACGGCACTCCACAATGCAATATGTGCTGGCCACTCCCAAATAGTGGACTATTTGGTCCAGCGAGGCACAGATGTGAATGCAGCCGACTCAGATGGGTGGACTCCATTGCACTGTGCTGCATCGTGCAACAGGTGGCTAATTTGCATTATAAAAGTTTGGATATGGCGACAATTCGTAACAAGGCATCTGCAAGTAGAATACGCTTGCTCCGCTCGCTTACATCCGGCACGAGAGGAATACTGCCTGTGAATCACTGTTCCCTGCTTAATATACTGTTACGAACTATCGCCTGTTAAGAGTTGTCGCCTGTTATGAATTGTCGCTTCACGTTTAATTTGTACTTAACTAATTGTATATACTAAATCAAATATTGTTCACTATGGGATCATGTTCACTAATCCACTCTTTTTGCTTGTTCACTATTGCTAAAGCCTATAGGGATGTTTTTTAGTTGGTACAAATTCGTAAATACTTACTTTGTATTGATGCTTAAAAGATGTGGAGGTTCTTTACTAGGAACCATAAGAGGGAGGAGGGGTAGGGGTTGGGTAATGAAAGTCAGTTCCACCAATTTTTGGAAGTCACGATACTATCTTATAAGATTTTTTAACCTACCTTTACCAAACAAAGACAGGAGCTCTAGAATTGAACCATTTCGAGTTTTTAAATTGCCTAACAATTAATATAAAAATTATAATTACAACGTAATTTGCGGGGTAAGGTTCAATGGGTTATTTGACTGTGGTTGTGTAGTGTGATGTTGGTGAAGTACTTGGTGGAGCATGGGGCGTGTATCTACGCGAGGACATTCAGTGACGGTGAGACACCTGCTCAGAAGTGTGAGGAGCACGAACCGAACTACGCTCAATGCAGTCAGTACCTATATGGTAAGTTGACCCCAAAAACAGTAGAATATAGATTTATCGAGTTAATAATGAGAACGACCATCAGAACAGGAGAATCTTTTGACAAAAAATTTTTCTGCGATGGGGCTCAAAAGATTGTAGGATAGCTGGCTATAACGGGATAGAGCTTTAAAAAAGAATGAAACATTTGCAGAGAAAAGGATTGTTCTAAAGTCTGAGTTAATTTCTTCACAAACAGGGGTACCGTCTGTAGGTACTCATTTTAAACTTAACGTGAGTACTCTTATATAGGTCTTGAAGATTTTATATGAACGTAGTTCAAACTCTTTTATAGGTAGCGATGATTTTTTTAGTTTTTAGTAGTTAGTAAAAAAATTTCAGGCTCAAGTCCCTTTTTCCGCGGTTTGAATTTTGATTTCTTTTTAAGTTTAGTGCATTTCCTTAGTTAAAAGAAAGGCAAACTCCACTATCGAACAGCAAAAGTGTAAAGATCCGGAAACACGTGATTGAATTCTAGTTTTGAAAGTGGAATTTAATTTCTCTGCGAAATAATCATTTTATTTATTGATCTAGTTTTTCTGAAATTGTGTTAAATTTATCAAAAAAGCATCAATCTTTAATTGTTAGTGAAATTTAAAGAGCTTTAAGGGCATATATTTTTTCTTCAAAATTCTAAAGTTGACATTTTTATAAAAAACGAGTCAGTATTTTTTTAGTGTTTCCTTGCGTTCATTGACTCTTTTCCAACTGTCTATGTCAGTTGGCTATGTTTGTTAATTTACAGGTGTGCAGGAGAAGCTTGGCATCATCAACCGAGGTGTAGTCTATTCCCTCTACCCCTACCCGGCAGAAAGGCCAGACGAACTGGCAGTTGCAGAGGGAGAGGCACTGTTCGTAGTCAGGAGGGGGGACGAGGAGGAGGGGCCAGAGTGGTGGTGGTGTGCGAGGGGGGCAGGGTCAGGAGGGAGAGAAGAACAGGGATACTTGCCTAGAAATATTATGGGGGTGAGTGTAATTGAGACTCTTGTACCGGTTTCTAGTTTCTAGTTTCTGGACGGAAATTCAAATTTTAAAAATATAACAATTTAGTAAATTGGGAAAATGTTAATCATGTGCAAATGAAATTCTTGCAAAACTTCTGATTTTTTTTGTTTATTTTGTGGCTATTTCATTTTGATCGTCATTGTAAGTAAGCTTCTACTAGGTGGTCCCAACAACGATTCTGAATTTGGATGCTTTTAATATTTTTGGTCTGAATTTAAATTTTAGTTTTGTTTCAGCTCTTTCCCAGAACGAAACCAAAAGCCAAGTTTGGTGCCAAAAACTGAGTAAAACATAGCGTGACCAGGATTGTCTTACAGTCTTTGCCAAACAAACAGATGTACAAAAAGAAAAATAACTACTGCTCCTTATTACTGCATTAAAACTTAATGTTTCAACCAGCTACTTGCTTTAATGTGCCTAAATGTAACAATAAGTTGTTATCAAAATGAATTGCGTTAAAAGATTGTGTAGATTATTTAAATGATTGATTTTCATTTTAGTTGACTTGCTTACTTTTATCGCTTAAATTACAAATTAGCTTACGAAAATTGTTTTATTTAGAAAAATTCAAGGCGTGCTAATAAAAAATTAAATGAATTCTTACTCTAGCGATAAGCAAGCGTTATCAAATCGGAATAGATACTTTTTCGGGTTAACAACTAGTTAAACAAAATCAGTTGAATCACTTGTATCTTGGTTCATAAGTAATTCAAACTTTCGTGCATTCGCAGCCAGCTTAGCCTGGAGGTAACGAATATGCCTGGGACTTTAAAAGTCGTGTGTTTGAATCTGACCAGGACCTGTTTTTTTTTCAAACGGAGATTTTCAGTTTCAAATAAAACTTAATATGTGTCTGCTTATGTTTTGTCGTCTTAGTTGTCACATCTAAACGTCATTGATTTTTGCGGTAAACTATTTTCATTGTAGTGTCTCTTAGTGTTTCAGCAAGAGAAGTTAAAATCCGTTCGAATCAAAAATTGATTTTTATATCGGTTGTAATTTACTAACTCGATTTGTAAAATTTCTATTTTTCGAATATCGAGTCACTGGCCTCCTCTTGCGTCTTTCGAGGTACGAAAATTTTTTTGTGCGCGCGTGTTTTCTGAGGGAGAAAAGTACTTTAATTATTTTGAATTTTTCGTCTTGAAGGGTTCTGCTCACATAGTTTTGGCGTTGTTACTTCTATGAATCACCAGGTTGCTGAAATGTTCTATTTAAATAGTGTGTGGGTACCAGGTACTGGGGCAGTTTCAGGGGCGACTTACAACTCTATAAAGTTTTGTACAAAGTCATATATTTTTTCGGTTCAACTGGTGTCTGCTTTTCGGCCTTGTTTCCGCTTCATAAATTTTGTTTAGTTGCTAAATTGAAGTTCAATTTTCTCGGAAATGTCATCTTTCTGATTTGTTGACCGTGTTGTTTGGACTTGTCTCGATAATTAACCTGCCAAATCCATTATCATAGGTTGTTGGAAGCTTAGTTTTACAATTTGCTATATTCAGTTTCTTCTATACTACTCCCTAATTTTTTCTAAGAGAATTGTTTTGTCTTTGGGCTTTGCTTCTCTCACTTATTTTCGTAGAGAAACGACTAAGGTTTTGAGCAAAGTCTACTTTTTGAATTTACGCATTTGTCCAGCATCAGTATAACTAAGTTTAAAAATAAATAAGACACGACTCCAGCTTCCCCCTTCTTTTTGGTTCACCTAGTTTTTTTTCAAAATTTTTCATTTTTTCGACTTATTTTGTTTATTGTTTTATCGTGTTGAGAAGTTCCGCTTCGCCTCCGTGTAATTATATTGCCAGTTAGTCTTTATAGTACACCTTGAAAAATCTATAGGAGAACATGGTATACGATTTACGATTTTACGAGGAAAGGGTCTTAAAATGAGTCAATCGAATATACGAAAACAATAATGGGAAATACTTAGGGTTAACTACAACTCATCCCTCAGGTTCATCTGTGTTCGGAATCGTTTGACACGCTTGATTTGGAGTTTATTTGGAGATATTTCTGACAGAAAGCCATTTTACAACGATGATTAAATATTGAAAGACGTTCAATATAGAAACAAGTTTTCACTGAACAAAATCGACCATTGCATGAAAAAAGGGCTTTCATTGGCACAAAATATCAAAGATCATTCTTCTGCTCATCAGAAACAGCTTTTTAAAACTCGCCGGCAAAAAATTTGGACCTGTCTTGCCACAGCCTACTTTTATCTGCTAAATGTTGTACGTTAACTGATTGTTCTAAGCTCTAAGATGTTTTTCATCATGCTTTATGAAATTTTTCGGAAAATAAGTTTTTTTTTGTCGGATGGTTTTCAAGCTAATGTGTGTGTTAAGCTGTAGGTAATTGGTGAATTTTTTGTCGACATCTAAGTTTTCCATTTTTTTTTACTATTAATTTGCAATTTGAATAGTTTAAGGAAACGGTGGCAAAACTGAGCTAATACTTTTTTGATCACGCAAAAGTTCCTCATTGGGCAACGGTAGTTGGATTATGAGTTACTGTTGTTTTGATATCAGCTTCCGGGTTTGTATTGCATAAAAATAGTTTTGTAAGTTTTCTGTTCATATCCGAAATCTTAGATGTTTTTCCAGAAACACGTTTAGTCAGCCTGGTCGGGGACATCAAGTCGCTCAGCAATTTTGGAAAGTAGTGACGAAATGAACAAAACCAAAATCTTTGACATAAAAATTGGAAGTCCATGATTCGATGAAAAATAAATTTCTCCTCTCACTCTCAGTCAAAGCAAATAGTCAAAATAAAGCACATTGAACTTGGACATTTGCAAATACTATCCTTAATCAAAAAGTTATTTTAGTATCGAGTTGCTTTAAATAAATTCCCTATTTTTAAGTTATATTTCTTGCGGAAACTGGATACCGGCAGGGATGTGAGCTTTCAATTTTTGTATTTTTACCCTTGCGATTAGCAAGAGTAATGCAATCGGGTACTAGACTTTTCCCGTAAATAATTTGAGCACAGGACTTATCTCCCGGATCCTAGATTCATTCATCCACTAGGTTTCCTGTTGCAACTGAGATCGTTTGAGCCTGTTAGCATTTCAAAAATACGTATTTTTTGAAATTCGATTTTTATCAATGTTGTTTGTAAGTTTACCAACTGGCTTTGTTAAAACTTCACATTTTAATTTTGTTTAAGTGGCTCTATAATGCATCGTTTGATGAGCAAAAGATTTTTTGTGTTCATTTTGAGCTTTGAGGGGGATGAGCTACAGCAATTTTTTGTTGATTTTCATTTCGAATGTTTTAAATATAAATATTTTTTGTGGTTTTAGTTCCTGCTCAGACATTTTTGGATTTTTTTTTCGCTTGTTAAGTTTTCCTATGGCAATTTCTGGCCACTTTCTATTGTTTTTTTAATTATTATTTTTCGTTTTCTAGAGAAGAACTAGTTTTTTCGATTTTTCTTACATTTTTTAATAATTTTTTTCTAGAATATTTTTTCGAGTTTTGCATTGCAAGTGGTGTGAAGTTCAGCTTCACCTTTGTAATTACATTTGCTTTTAAGAATGAAAATTGCAACCACTATCTATGTATACAAATGTTTTTAAGATTTTAGATAACGAAGAATTACCTTATAAGATTTTTGAAACTTTCAAGAAGAATTTCTGAATGAACTCAAAAAGATTTTGATATTTTTTTCAAACAAACTAAATTTCAAGAATAAAGCACCGTTTAAGTGATGGAGAGGAGTTTTTCATGCAAACATGTTTTCCATTTTGTACTTTTACCACTTTTGAAATTCCGCTCTCGAAAAGTTACTTTAATTCAAACAAAATTTCGAAACAATCAATTTAGTCAATAACCTTGCGAAAAGACTGAACTTAATCAAATCATAAGTCGATATCATTCAAATAATGAATCGGCCATATTTACACCGAAGACTTTAGTCAAGGTGTTATGGTATCGTGTAACGGGTTTTTTTTTAATGTTGTCTGTTGTCAAGTGTCGACAAATAACGTCCACAGTTATCAATTATCATGTGGGCTGGACTATATCGCGCTATGTCACGTGATTGCGTATGTTTGTTTCTTTATTTGTTCATCTTTATTTATTTAATTATCTGTTCTTCTATTTATTTAATTATGTTTAGTTTGCTTATATTTATTTATAATTTATGTATGTACATATTTATTTTTGTTTATTTTTATCACGTGTTTTGTTTATTTATTTAATTATTCTTTCTTTCATTTAGTTTTGCTTTTATTATTTCTGCGTGTGTATTTATTTAATTTATTTATTTTCATTTATTTATATTATGGGTCTGTTTGTTTGGTTATTTGTTTATATAAATATTTTTTCATGTCTATTTAATTATTTGTACATTTCACTTTTGCTTTTATTTATTTATTTATTTATTTATTTATGTATTTATTTATGTATTTATTTTTTTATTTATGTATTGATTTATTTTTTTATTGCTTATTTATTTATCAGGTGTGTTTTGTTTATTTGTTGATATTTATTTCTATATTTATTTAATTATTCTTTCTTTCATTTAGTTTTGCTGTTATTATTTATGTATGTGTATTTATTTCATTTATTTATTTTCATTTATTCATATTATGGGTCTGTTTGTTTGGTTATTTGTTCATATATTTTTTTTCATGTCTATTTAATTATTTGTACATTTCACTTTTGCTTTTATTTATTTATATATTTATTTATTTATGTATTTATTTATGTATTTATTTATTTATTTATGTATTGATTTATTTTTTTTGCTTATTTATTTATCAGGTGTGTTTTGTTTATTTGTTGATATTTATTTCTATATTTATTTAATTATTCTTTCTTTCATTTATTTTTGCTTTTATTATTTATGTATGTGTATTTATTTCATTTATTTATTTTCATTTATTCTTATTATGGGTCTGTTTGTTTGGTTATTTGTTCATATATATTTTTTCATGTCTATTTAATTATTTGTACATTTCACTTTTGCTTTTATTTATTTATATATTTATTTATTTATGTATTTATTTATGTATTTATTTATTTATTTATTTATTTATGTATTGATTTATTTTTTTATTGCTTATTTATTTATCAGGTGTGTTTTGTTTATTTGTTGATATTTATTTCTATATTTATTTAATTATTCTTTCTTTCATTTAGTTTTGCTTTTATTATTTATGTATGTGTATTTATTTCGTTTATTTATTTTCATTTATTCATATTATGGGTCTGTTTGTTTGGTTATTTGTTCATATATTTTTTTTCATGTTAATTTAATTATTTGTACATTTCAGTTTTGCTTTTATTTATTTATATATTTATTTATTTATGTATTTATTTATGTATTTATTTATTTACGATTGGCCGATTGAAACGACAGGAGGCGTTTTGCTACACATACAAACACAATCTTTTGTATTTTATTATAGCTATAGAAATGATCTACAATGCGTAAGTACGACATTTAGTTCTACGATTGTTATTTCAGGTCCTTTGTCAATATTTCAGGCTCTTTGTCAATATAGCAAAATTTTGGTGTATATATGTGTTAGTAAGATTTTTAGTTCTACAACGTTTATTCAGGCTCTTTGTCGATATAGCAAAATATTGGTGTATACATGTGTTAGTACGATTTTAGCTCTAGAGTTGTTATTTCAGGCTCTTCGTCAATATAGCAATATTTTAGCGTATACATGTGTTAGTACCATTTTTAGTTCTCGAACTGTTATTTTATGATCTATGTCAATATATCAAAATTTTAGTGTATACATGTGTTATTACGATTTTTAGTTCTCGAACTGTTATTTCATGTATGTACATATTTATTTTTGTTTATTTTTATCACGTGTTTTGTTTATTTATTTAATTATTCTTTCTTTCATTTAGTTTTGCTTTTATTATTTCTGCGTGTGTATTTATTTAATTTATTTATTTTCATTTATTTATATTATGGGTCTGTTTGTTTGGTTATTTGTTCATAAATATTTTTTCATGTCTATTTAATTATTTGTACATTTCACTTTTGCTTTTATTTATTTATTTATTTATTTATTTATGTATTTATTTATGTATTTATTGATTTATTTATGTATTGATTTATTTTTTTCTGGCTTATTTAGTTATCAGGTGTGTTTTGTTTATTTGTTGATATTTATTTCTATATTTATTTAATTATTCTTTCTTTCATTTAGTTTTGCTTTTATTATTTCTGCGTGTGTATTTATTTAATTTATTTATTTACATTTATTTATATTATGGGTCTGTTTGTTTGGTTATTTGTTCATATATATTTTTTCATGTCTATTTAATTATTTGTACATTTCACTTTTGCTTTTATTTATTTATTTATTTATGTATTTATTTATGTATTTATTTATTTTTTTATGTATTGATTTATTTTTTTATTTCTTATTTATTTATCAGGTGTGTTTTGTTTATTTGTTGATATTTATTTCTATATTTATTTAATTATTCTTTCTTTCATTTAGTTTTGCTTTTATTATTTATGTATGTGTATTTATTTCATTTATTTATTTTCATTTATTCATATTATGGGTCTGTTTGTTTGGTTATTTGTTCATATATTTTTTTTCATGTCTATTTAATTATTTGTACATTTCACTTTTGCTTTTATTTATTTATATATTTATTTATTTATGTATTTATTTATGTATTTATTTATTTATTTATGTATTGATTTATTTTTTTATTGCTTATTTATTTATCAGCTGTGTTTTGTTTATTTGTTGATATTTATTTCTATATTTATTTAATTATTCTTTCTTTCATTTAGTTTTGCTTTTATTATTTATGTATGTGTATTTATTTCATTTATTTATTTTCATTTATTCATATTATGGGTCTGTTTGTTTGGTTATTTGTTCATATATATTTTTTCATGTCTATTTAATTATTTGTACATTTCACTTTTGCTTTTATTTATTTATATATTTATTTATTTATGTATTTATTTATGTATTTATTTATTTATTTATTTATTTATGTATTGATTTATTTTTTTATTGCTTATTTATTTATCAGGTGTGTTTTGTTTATTTGTTGATATTTATTTCTATATTTATTTAATTATTCTTTCTTTCATTTAGTTTTGCTTTTATTATTTATGTAGGTGTATTTATTTCGTTTATTTATTTTCATTTATTCATATTATGGGTCTGTTTGTTTGGTTATTTGTTCATATATTTTTTTTCATGTTAATTTAATTATTTGTACATTTCAGTTTTGCTTTTATTTATTTATATATTTATTTATTTATGTATTTATTTATGTATTTATTTATTTACGATTGGCCGATTGAAACGACAGGAGGCGTTTTGCTACACATACAAACACAATCTTTTGTATTTTATTATAGCTATAGAAATTGATCTACAACGCGTAAGTACGACATTTAGTTCTACGATTGTTATTTCAGGTCCTTTGTCAATATTTCAGGCTCTTTGTCAATATAGCAAAATTTTGGTGTATATATGTGTTAGTAAGATTTTTAGTTCTACAACGTTTATTCAGGCTCTTTGTCGATATAGCAAAATATTGGTGTATACATGTGTTAGTACGATTTTAGCTCTAGAATTGTTATTTCAGGCTCTTCGTCAATATAGCAATATTTTAGCGTATACATGTGTTAGTACCATTTTTAGTTCTCGAACTGTTATTTTATGATCTATGTCAATATATCAAAATTTTAGTGTATACATGTGTTATTACGATTTTTAGTTCTCGAACTGTTATTTCATGATCTTTGTCAATATATCAAAATTTTATTCTATACATGTGTTAGTACCATTTTTAGTTCTCGAACTGTTATTCCATGATCTTTGTCAATATAGCAAAATTTTGGTGTATACATGTGTTAGTACGATTTTTAGCTCTACAACTGTTATTCCATGATCTTTGTCAATATAGCAAAAATTTGACGTATACATGTGTTAGTACGATTTTTAGCTCTCGAACTGTTATTTCATGATCTTTGCCAATATAGCAAAATTTTGGTGTATACATGTGTTCGTACGACTTTTAGCTCACGAACTGTTATTTCAGGCTCTTTGTCAATATAGTAAAATTTTGGTGTATACATGTGTTAGTACGATTTTTAGTTCTAGAAGTGTTATTTTATGATCTTCGTTGATATATCAAAAATTTAACCTATACATGTGTTAGTACGATTTTTAGTTCTAGAACTGTTATTTCAGGCTCTTTCTCGATATAGCAAAATTTTGGTGTATACATGTATTAGTACGATTTTTTGTTCTAGAACTGTTAGTCTTCAATTATTAGTTGTTCAAGTTGTTTGGTTTTTGCTTCAGTTTCTATGCCTTCGGTGTATTGCGCGTAGCGCCTATGTTTATCAATTATCATTTAGTAGCAAATTTTCGATTTACGTTTTTAGCAATTTAATCTGCTTACAAACAATGTTCGTCAGAGTGATGCAGTCAGTTACAATCAAATGAGGGTAGTTGCTTTTTTACGGCAAACTAAACGTTTTTAGGGAAGCTTTCAAGGTTTGGCGACCTACGATTTGTAAAAAGTTTTTTCTTCTCCGAGAATTCTAATGATTTCAAGGTCAACATTTAAGCGGACTGAAAAGAGACGAACTGAAAAGCACGTATAATTTTTTTCTTTACTTTTTTATATGATTTGATAGTCGAGAAAACGTAGCAAAGAAAACCAAACTTAAGTGGAGCACATTCGAAACAGGTCAAACACAGTTGAGTAGTTGTGCAAAATTTGTTGGAAAATAGCCTTTGAATGTTGGTCAGCAACATTCGAACATTAGTCGAACAATCGATATTTCATTGTGTCTTTTCCGTATTCTTTTTCAATTTTCATGCAGAATATTTTGAATGTTTACACAATCTCCAGAGTGTTTTGCCCTTTTCTTGATAACTACGTTTCCAGCAGTGCGGAAAACACGATTACAATGGTTATTCGAGAATGGTATGCAGAAATTTTTCCTCTCCACCAACTTAATGAGTCTTTGGACACAGTGTGTAAGGAGTTCAATAACACCCAATTCAAATAGCGCCAAAGATTCGGGAGAGCATTCAAAGGTTATCGTCGAAAGAACATTCGAACATATGCTTGCACCCAGGGGCTGATCTAGGATTTTCTCGAGGGGGGCGGATTTTCAAAAAAAATTTCGAAAAATTTGACGACATTTTTTTTAGGTCGACCAAATTGATTTTTCGAGCTCTCCTAAAGCCTTGTTTTGCACCTTTTTTGGGTAAATTTGTCTGCGACGCAGGCAAATTGTTGAAGAAACAGTCAAAAAAAGCCGTTTTTTGGCACTTTTTGAAAAATTTTGACAAAAAAATCGCGTTTTTTTTGGCGCGCGCTCCCCCTCAAAGTTAGTATATATTGGGGCCAAAGGCGCCTTTAGAAAAATTTTAGGGTCGGTCGGCCAAAAATTTCAAAAGGGGGACCCTTTGGGTCGGCAGGGGGTCAAATTCCTGAGAGAAAGGCGTCCCCCCCCCCGCCCCTCCCTAAATCAGCCCCTGCTTGCACTATTTCAATTGAAGCATAAGTCGAGCACAGTATATGCAAAAATGGAACAATCAATGAAAAAAGAACGATCCTTTTTTCAAAAAATTAACAACCTTTGCTTAAAATACTTTATTTGTTCTTTCAAAATCTATAAAATCTTAAACTATAAAAAACTGAAAGTAATCACTGAAAGTATGGCAACTTGCTATATCTTTCGACCCCATCTGACTTTTGTTTGTGCTACAAGATTTTGCATGAAATTTTGCAAGTAAAACAAAATTTTAAACCTGCTTTGATCGAAGTTATTTCCAATTTTTCTACGAGCGGGGAAAGAATTTAATGGAAAAAACACTCAAAAGCTTTTTGAAAAAAAAACACTCAAAAGCTGTGCTCTATTTTTAAATAATCAAGATTGTTTGAAATTTTTCAAAAAAGAACCATTTATCTTTGAAAAAGCTCCAATACGATATATCTTTCGAAGCAAGCTGTCCTTCAGGTTCAGTACCTGATTTGTTTGAACAAAAAAAGCACAGTTTGAGTGGCCGCTTGCTTGTTCTGATTTGTTTTGTTGCAATTCGAGAATTTTTTTCTCAGCAGCTTTCGCTGAAAGCAAAATAGAAATTCAAACTAATATTAGAAGCAAAAATTTGTTATCGGCTTGGTATCTCTTTGTAATTTTTGCCTTAGGTTACTTTATTTATTTTATAAATTGCCAAAAAATTTTGCTAAAAAGCTAATTAAATATGTTTTTTTTTTCAAAACTATGTTTTTATGATAATCTTCAACCCCAAGTCATATTGTAAGTTATATGATTTTGTTCTATCCTGTATTTTCATATACAGTCAGTTTTTGCTTCAATTGGTTTTTACAAAAAAATTCTTTTATCTTATTCAAACATTATCGCTCTATTGAATTGAAAAACAGGATTCATTTCCGCTGTCATTTTTTCGGCTCAACAAATAACAGATTCAAACTTTTCAAAACAGGTTTGTTTTAACAACCATTAGCAGGGGCTTTGGTGAGTCCAAATTCAGAGTGCATTGTTTTGAGATCCAGTTTCTAGCGCCCTCTTATATGAATTTTTTGTGCCAAAAGCAAACACTTTTTTTGAGTAATTTTTTTGTTTTGTTTTTGAGCTTGCAATTTCCACAAGACTAGTTTTTAGTTGCATTTTTTCCCATTTAAATTTCGCTGTTCGCTTATGTTTTTTTGCGACTCAAAAATAATTCCACAATATTTTTAAATCTAAACCGTCAATTTGAATTTTTTGTTCAACTTCCAGTTTTTGAGCGGCTTTATTACTTTTCTTTTCAGAAGATGACTACCACTACTACGTCCTCTGGTTCATCAACAAGTATTATCACCTTTTGTCATGGAGAAAACTAAATTTAGACAAATTGAGTTTAGTTTTATGCTTAAGAACAAAAAATTCTAAAAAAGTACCAAATAATTTTAAAAATCACTCTGATTGGTCGGGGTCTGGTGCAAACATTGGATATGTCAAACATCCGAACTGAAATAAGAATTATGTTTTAATAGGTCGTTTGAGTTTCAAAAACAAGATATGATTCAATTATCCGATTCCAACTTAGCCGACTCTCGGTTTAAGGTAGCCGTTAATGTCCTCTGAGTCCTACCCTCTGTTTGCAAACTCGCAAAACGTTGGCACGACAGCGGTGATCCTCCTTCAATCGATCAGTATCGCATTTGTTAAACGAACGTAGGGTAGAAATCAAGTCCTTGCCCTATTTTTGAAAAATGTCAGATGTTTGACCTAGTAAAGCTGTTTGCGGATGTTTGCAGCACTTTTTCTTTTTTCGGATGTTCGACATATTGGATGTTTAAACGGTACCCGATTGGTCCATATGAACAAAAAACATCATGAAACACTCTTTTGAAGGCCATTAAAACAGTATAAAACAAACATTTTACCTAATGATTTATTAAACAGACTAAACAGTTGTCTTAAACAGACTAAAAAACAAGTGACCCCATTATTTAGCCCTTCCCCACATTAACATACATTGAGTGGGGGGATAGGAGGTTTTTCAGCCAACTAACTGTATGTTGAAGTTAGTATTCTAAAATTTTTCAATGTGGCACGCTTTTTTTTCTCCTTACCGTTCAGATTTAGCTTTAATCAAATTAACTTTTTGATATCTCATTACGAGGCCAAACTGTCTACTGGATAGGCGCCCAAATTTGTGTCTGTATGTTACTGGACTTCAGAAACTAACCTTTAAACATGTTCCAAAATATCAGTGGATTCCACTTACAAAACTTGTCGGCATATTTCTTGTGTCGCGGATTCCGCAACAAGCGAAAATAGCTAATTGTTCTGGATTCCGCAACTGTAAACGCATTCCGCAGAATGTACGTGAAATCCGCAAATGTAAGTGGATCCCGCAAACTGTAAGTGGATTCCGAGTATTGTTTATCAATAAACTTGCATATGAACAATTAAAAGCTAGAGCTGGAATTCTTATCTTTAACCATGCGGAGTTTAAAAGCAAGGACTTAAACATTGTCAGCGGAAACCACCAACAAATTTTAAAAAATTGGTTAACTAATTCGGTGGATTTCACTTTTAGTATTTGGTATACATATCCCAGCAAACAAATTTTAGGATCACAGTTGTGGAAACACAACAACGAAAAAATTCGTTATTTGGAGTCATTGGGTTGAGCGTGTTTAGAAACACAACAAACAGCATAATTTTATTTCTTAGACTAAACTAGCACAATCAACTTCGAAGTTTTCAACTTTCCGAGTCGATTAAAGTTTTATCGTTTGAAGATATTGCATTTAAATATCTGGTTATAGGAATTGTTCTCCTAATAATATTTGTTAGGTAAACTGAACAAAAATTCAAAAATCTTGGACAAGAAACTGCTGTCAGAAAACTGTGTGTAGATTATTGCTGAAAAACGGATGTTGAAGAGATGATTTGAAAGCTCAAAGTAATCAATTAAACATTTTTACCATCAGCATTTGTATCCAAGTTTATTAGGTTCTCCTTTTTGGTCCAAAAAACGGTAAAATTGAATCCAATATCTGCCTTTTTGAGAAAACTAAGACTTTAAGGTTTTCTCTTTGAATATGGTACAAAATTGCTTAGATTGCAAATAGTGAATTGTACAGTGATGATTTAAATTAACCAGACAAAACGGAAAAATGTTTTAATTTCGAAAAAAAATTTCTCAAACTGGATCAAGATAAGACAAAAAGTGAAGAGAACAAAATTTGCTTAGAATTTTGCCAGGGTTATTATGGTGCAAGTTTTTCTTCAAAATTCTCAACCAAAAACTTACTCCAAAAACAAGTCATTTTGTCTTTTTTAAATTAATCAAGAATTACGCTGAAACCTCTTTAATAAAAGAAGAAAAAATTCTTACACACGAAGACTCTTACTTATCCCAACAAAGTTCTTGAAAGGTTAAACCTTCAAAAATTTGCGCAAATTGTTCAAAATTTGTTTTTGAGCAAAGATTTTGGGTTTTATAAAGTAAAAATCACATTTTTTCCTGACTATCAAGCAAAATATCAAGCATGTTTTCTCTTCTACAGGCTTTTAGAGGGTTAGCCCTTCTAAAACTTTGTTGGGCTGTGTAAAAGGCTTCTTGTGTTATATTTTTTCATCTTTTAACAAAGAAGTTTCAGCGTAAATATTGATTTTTTCAACAAAAGCCAAAACGACTTGTTTTTGGGGTAGATTTTTGGTTGAAAACTTTGGATAAAAAATTAAATCTGGTAAAAGTATAAACAATTTTTGTTCTCTTCACTTTTTGTCTAACCTTGATCCAATTTGAGAAAAAGGCGTTCAAAATTAAAACATTTGTTCGTTTTGTCCGTTTAATATAAATCATCACTGTACATTTCATTATTTGCAATTTGAGCAATTTTAGGCCAAACTCAAAGTGAAAACTTTAAAGCCTTAGTTTTCTCAAAAAGTCAGATATTTGATTCAATTTTACCGTTTTCTGGACCAAAAAAAGAGTCTAATGAACTTGGATACAAATGCTGATGGTAAAAAGGTTTAATGGATTACTTTGAACTTTCAAATCATCTCTTCAACATCTGTCTTTCAGCAATAATCTACACACAGTTTTCTGACAGCAGTTTCTTGTCCAAAATTTTTGCCATATTGTTCAGTTTTCCTAAAAAATAATATTAGGAGAACAATTCCTACAACCAGATATTTAAATGCAATATCTTCAAACGATAAAACTTTAATCGACTCGGAAAGTTGAAAACTTCGAAGTTGATTGTGCTAGTTTAGTTAAAGAAATAAAATTATGCTGTGCGTTGTGTTTCTAAACACGCTCAACCCAATGACTCCAAATAACAAATTTTTCCGTTGTTGTGTTTCCAAAACTGTGATCTTAAAATTTGTTTGCTGGGATTGTATACCAAATACTAAAAGTGAAATCCACCGACTTAGTTAACCAATATTTTAAGATTTGTTGGTGGATTCCGCTGACAAAGTTTAAATCCTTGCTTTTAAATTCCGCATAGTTAAAGATAAGATTTTTAGCTCTAGCTTTTAATTGTTCAATGCAAGTTTAATGATAAACAAAACTCGGAATCCACGTACAGTTTGCAAGTTCCACTTACATTTGCGGATTTTCCGTATTTGCAGTTTAAGCAATTTTGGGCCAAATTCAAGGTGAGAAATTTTGAAGCCTTAGTTTTCTCAAAAAAGGAAGATTTTTGATTCATTTTTTCTGTTTTTGGACCAAAAAGGAGGGCGTAACAAATTTGGATACAATTTTTGAGGGTAAAGTGTTTAATTTATTAGTTTGTGTTTCAAATCATCTCTTCAACATCCGCTTTTAGTAAAGTCTACACAAAATTTCGCCTAATTAATCAGGTTACCTAACAAATATTATTTCGAGACCATTTCCTATAACCAAATATTAAAAAGCAACCTCTTCAATTGGTAAAACTTCAATCGACTTGGAAAGTTAAAAACTTCAAAACTGATTGTGGCAGTTTCAGTTTAAAAATTAGTTTTTGTTTTTAAAAGCTGGCGAATGTTTCAAAAATGATTTAGTTTCCTAAAATCTTTCAATTAACAGTCTTCTTTGCCGCTACGTATAGTAGAAAATGATTCACTTTGTGTCAAAAACTTATCAATGGGACTAAATAGATAGTCCCCGTTCAGTATGACATGGTTTCTGAACTTAATTAAATCATCGCCTACGAGACAGTAGAATGATATATTAGGTTTCGGTTTCATCCGCAATATCAGCTGGACATTTTCCAACTTTGCTTAAACGAAAAATGATCTTTAAAAATGTTTTTAAAGGTTTTGAGCTTAAGGCAGTGATTGATGCCTTTACAATGGCTTACAATTTTTTTCAATTTTTTTCTGAACAAAAAACCACACTTGAGCAAACATTCCTAAACATGCCTATTTTAACGTGGAAGACAAGAGCGGAGCGGAGCATGTCTTAACTTTTTTTCCTGTCACCTGTGAAGTTAGTCCAAATGGTATAAGTCAAATTGTAAATATTATAGCTAAGATACCCGGGTTAACAAAAAATGCTTATTATACAATTTTCTTATATGAAAAAAATGCTTATCATACTCTTTCATACAATTTCATAGAGCAAAAGTAAGTGTATGAAAATAGCAAAATAGGCATTTTTTTCCAGAATTGAAGTTGTATGATAAGTGTTTTTTTTCGATATTATGAAATTGTATGATAAGCATTTATTCCATAAACGAAAATACAAAAAAAATTATTTCGAAATTTCATGTTTCAACCGAAACACTAACCAAGGATTTTTTCTCATAGGACAACCCAGAGTATAACTGGCAGTTACCACGCAGATAAACTGCATTAGGTGATATAGCCGTAAAGTTAGTTTGATCATTTTTACATGGAATTGTATAGTAAAAAATTAACTTTTTGAATATGACTAGATAATTTTTAATTTGAAAATTTTGATGGTTGAGAAAAAAAGGCCTGTTTTTCTACAAAGTTATTTTTATGTTAGCAATTGAAACAAAAGATAATAATCGTGTTTACAAAAAAAAAACACTTTTTTGTGATTTTGGGATTTTTTGGGTGAAAAACACATCCTGGACTACGTTATAAACACAGAAAGTCAAATTTTGCTTCCAAATTTGTTTTTCGTAAAATTTATATTTTAGCACAAAGGCAAGTTTGCAGCCAAAAACAAAGAATTAAATTTTTTTGCCTCAGATTTTTGTTTTTGTTTATGAAAAAATTGTATTATCAACATTTTTTTACTTAAAATTTTAAATCATTTTTTAATGACCAGAAAGCTTCAGAAGAGGCAAGTAGACCAAAAATGTTCATTAAAAATTTTCAAAACAATTTTTAAA